CATAATTTTGACAACCACCCACATCTCTGAAGCTTTTGCCCTTCTTCCCCTTTGGTGCAGAGCACTCAGCTGTTTGTCTCCTAGGCTGCTACAGGCCTATGGCCCATGCACCGCCAGAGAAGGACTACAACCGAGGATCCACAGCGCGATCCCAAGGACGAAGATTTGCCTACTGTACCTGGCAAACCCCCCAAAATGCCCTGTGGTTGGGGTTAGCATGTCTGCAAACCCACGATATCATCCCTCCTACAATCCCCTTCCCGTCCCTGCACAGGGCGCCTGCACCAGTGCTGGCATTGCGCGCGGTTCCTCACTTTCTTGCTCACTGGCTGCTGTCCGCGACGAACCTTCTCCTGGCCCAAGACTCCCACGGACAAGAAACCCCAGAGCCCGGTAGAAACCTAAACCGAAGCACAGAACCCCGACAAAAAGCCCCGGAGCCATCTTCAACACGCCAGAGTCAGTTGACGTGGTCAGATCCGAGCCGATCTTCCGCCAAACAGGCCCCCTTTGGCTCAACGGCTTCATGCAAATCCTTGCAACTAACTATCCTACCGATTGGGGTCGTTTCCCACCTAGTTGAGCTTGTGATCCCGGAGATTCCATCCGCTTCTGGGCCTAATGCTGGCCCCAAAACCCAAAACCCAAAACCCTAAACCCAAAACCCAAAACCCAAAACCCTAAACCCTAAACCCTAAACCCAAAACCCAAAACCCCTAAACCCTGGAACCCTAAGCGCAAAAGGTGAGACTACAGGCCTTGACCCAGCAGGTCGTGTCTGTGATCACGATGTCCATCTTTGTAGTGAGCGGCTTGAAATCCTGGGCCCGGGTTTCAGGTTTCGGGCTTAGGGTTTAGGGTTTAGGGTTTAGGGTTTCGGGTTTCGGGTGTATGGGCCCTGAAGTCATCGTTTGTCAAAAAGAAGTAAACCCTAAACCCGAAATCCCAAAACAAGAAGTTTTGTGGGGATCCTGAAAAATCGAGCTTCAACCAAGCGATGGTTCAGTCTCATGGTGTGCTTCTTGACTGGGCGTTTGAAGACTGCCGGGCTTCCAGAACTTGTGGACCTGGAGAGCTACCTCTAGCCAACACACCTTTAGGGTTTTTTGGGTTCAGGGTTTAGGGTTTCATAAGTTACTACCCCGAACTTTACTTCTCCAATGAGCCCTTGTGAAGCTCTCCCCAACCCGCACTAAGCCCCTTTTTTTAAACTCTTACATAGGCTTCCCCATGGTTTCACAGCAACCGCCCTTTTGCGAGCTGCCGCCAGGTCGCCGAATCCGGGAACACGCCGATAATGCGGCACTTCAGCACCAGCGTCGCCACCTAGGCTGCGCGAGGCTTTCGCAGCATGGTCGTTTCAGAAAACAAGGAACCCAACTCAAGATATGCAACTGTACACATAGACTATAGATATAGACATAGAAATAGATAGGGACCTGGATATAGGCTAGGTAGACCCGAACTCATGTAACTCCGCGTTTCAAGAACCTCTCACATTGCCCCACGTCTCGGCCATCCCAGTCGGGACGCCAACTGTGAGTTTGTGGCGTGGCCGAGAAGCATAGGGAGGTGCATTGATAGGCGGTTTTGGAATCTACAAGGGGCTCATAAGTGTTGAAAGGGTCGTAAAGAAATATATACGGCTGTACAATGCAGACTCGAATCAAGAAATCCCAGCTGCCTTCATGAGTAGTTTAGCAATCGTACAGATTTGTCACTCCTTTCGTGCCATGCCAATTCGTAGCAATTCCTTTGCCGACCCCAAACCCCTTGTCGTCGCTTTGTCAACCCTCGCAGCCTAATTACTTGAATACCATCGTGTGACACCCCACCAAAACTGAACGCTAGCCGCTGTCTGGAGGAATAGCATCGACGGCTGGCATGGTCTGGCGACACACTTGCTCAATCGAGACACGCCCATAAAAAAAAAAAAAAACACGAGCTCGACTCTTGAGTCCAAACGCATGTCATAGAAAAGGTTGCGCCCTCACTCGACATTGGTCTTGCCGGACCCGGAAATGTAAAACAGATTGAGTGGGCTGTAAAACCCACATCTTTAAACCCTCATCACCCTCATCCTACCTCGGAAGCTGGCAGCCTTTAATGGTTTCTGCTGGACCTCCGATATCCACAAGAATTTAGGGTTTGGGGCTTAGGGTTTCTTCATCCCACAAACGAAGCAATCGGCAGCCCATTCCCCTCTGTCTTTTTTGTGCTCCCTGTGTCTTGTTTTTTGCTTGCGAGGGCGGGAGCTTTTTTGGGACTGGATTTTGGGTCTGTTGTAACTCTATCGACCAAATTTCCGGGTTTAGCTTCGCCTTTAACTTTTACTTGAGGGTTTGCTAGGCCTTCCTCGCTGTGGGGTTCCGGGACGCCTTCAGGGGCTTCATCTTGGGGACAACACAAAAAAGACACAGCGAACAACAAAAATAAGAGACACGGTGGACCCCTCTGCCGGAGCAATCCCTTTGCCCTGTTATACATTAGTTGGCTACCCCTTCTGTTGCGGCTAGATAAGGGTTTTGGGTTAAGAGTTTCAAGGTATGTTTGTTGACCCGGGAACTTGGAAAGTGTGGTCATGAGTAATTACGGTAACTGTGGCCATGATGGCTCTTATGACGCCGTTGCTTGTACGTACGTAGACAACTGACCCACTGGGCGAAGCGGCACTGCCGTCCTGCTTGCGGCCGATGGCATCGAAGACGCGTGTCTGGGACTTTTGAAGTCGAAGGATTATGGATTTCGGGTTTAGGCTGAGTCTAGGAGGGACTTCTATGGACAAGGTATTTAGGCCAGGGTTCTGGGAAATCTGAGAGATGACGGAAACCTAGAGAAGAACAGCAATAGTCATTCGCAAGAACGATCCGAAGAAGAGCTGAGACCTGAGAGGAGTTCCGAGGAGGGATCGCCCTGAGATGCTCAGAGAGGGCACGAGGCTCAGGCGGAAGTCCAAGCGGATTTCACCGCTCTCTTGAAAGGAGGTGGTTTAGAGGAGAATCGTCTATCCCCAAACCCCCACCCGCTTTCGAAGCCCACAGAACCGTCCAGCAGCCAAGCGACGAACGAAGGTCCTGTGTTCAGACTCAGCTGACCATTGGACTGCAGCTCCTGCACAGGCCACTTTGGGGCTTTTTCGGGCGGAGGGCTTGTGGTTTTGGGGGCTTGGGTGTTTGTGTTTTAGTTAAACCCTAAACCCCCTAAAAGTTGGGACGGGCTAGGATTCTTGAAGGGTTCCGATATGAACCCTGAATAGGCCCTAAACCTTCACACCCAAACAGCATCGGATTCTTTGTGCAGGCCCTCACTTGCTACCTAGAGATGCGGCGTACCACACTCAAAACCCTGTGCCCTGTTCTAACTAAGCCCTCGAAACTTGTTGGGGTGCGGTAGGTTTCCGGCCGAGGCATTGAAAAACCTAGGATTAGCGCCGATCTTTACGAGTTTCAAGAAAACAGTGTTAATGGCGTTCGGTGGAAACTCCTGTGGGCCAACATCCAAAACGGCTTCGTCGTCCTAGCGCGTATCTCGTCCGCCCCCATCCACGGAAGACCCCTCAATCCTGGAAGCTGAAAAGCCCTCAGAGAGCCTTGAGACTCAGAAACCCGTATGGAACCCTCTGGACGAGCCCTTCCGGTGCAGGGAGACGGTCCAGGAGGGGATGACCCTCGTAGAAGCCGATGCCATGGACACCGTCGAACTTGAAGTTTTTCTGCGTCGGGAGAACGGGTCGGGGGCTTGGGGAGCTTCGGGCTTGTAGGGTTTCTTCAGGCAAGGCAGAGGCAGACCCCTTCCCCTGCATGCGAAAGATGCAGCCAGCCTTGTCGCACCTCATCGCATATGAGCTTGGTACCATAGCGCCTGCAAGACACGGGCGTGTAGAAAGGATGACGGTAAGTAGCAGCAGTCTGTGTTCAGGCAGGCTACTGCCGTCAGCAAACCCTGTGGCTATCGCTGTCCTAATTTCGGCAGTCTTGCTGCGGTGTTGATTGTCATGAGAGAAACAGATGACATTGCTGAGCTGCGCAAGTATAGGTATTAGCATCATGGCCATGCTGACCGCTGCATAACCTCTGCTCTTTCGTACTGGAAGCAGCACTGTTAGTCTACCCTAAACCCTGAACCCTAAACCCTAAACCCTAAACCCTATAAACCCTAAACCCTAAACCCCTAAATCCTAAACCCTGAACCCTAGACCCTAAACCCTAAACCGCCCTCTACAAGAGCCCTCCGGCCTTGAGGAAAGGCCACCGGCTCCACTGCCGGAACGGCTTGGCCGACGGCGCCTCAGGAAGAGGTTAGGCTTTGGGCTTTGGGGTTTGGGGTTTAGGGTTTAGGGTTTAGGGTTTAGGGTTTAGTCCGAGGGTGTCGAGATTGAGGGTTTAGTTTAGGGCTGAGGTTTAGAATTTAAGGGCTTTGGACTTTGGGGGGGAAGTTCAGGATTGGGATTGAAGGGTTTTGGAGCTGATGAAGGTTGATCATGTAGTGTTCAGTCTTTCCACCAAGGTGCTGAAACCAAAAAGCCGCTTCCGGGCTCCTTCGGGTAGGTGTGAGTAGGGCTCAAGTTTTAGGGTTTAAAAACCTTAGGGTTTTACGATGCCGCTTATCCCTAGTACCCTAAACCCAAAACCCTAATACCCGAATTCTCTGAAGCTCCGCTCACCGCCAGCCCCAGCTCTAACTTGTAGGCATCTTTACCCAGCAAGTCTGCTCAGCATCCGGTGGACCTTTATAACTCTCGAAGAGGGCTTTAATTGCGTGGGGATGTGTCACAGTTAAGGTTTAGGGTTTAGGGTTAAGGATCCAACAACCCTCTACAACAGTTTTACGTTTGCTTTGCACAGGGTGTGGCACAGCCGGGGCGCTGGTCAGCGTGCTGGTCGGGTAGGAGAGCAAAGGAGCAGCTGTCGGCTTGACCACAACCACCTGAGGAGGTTAGGCTTTAGGGCTTCGGGCATTTTATGGGTTTGAGTAGAGGTTAGGGCCTTAGGGCTTCTATAGGCATTGAGGATTTTAAGGAGCTTGGGAGTTGGCGCTTAGGCTTAGGACGCGAGATGCAGGATCTAGGTTTGAGGGTCTGAGATTGAAATCTAGGCTGTCTTGTGCGTGGGGATATACAGGACATAAGGGTCCTTTTGAGAATATTATAAATATATATATATATATATATGTATACCTTTGGCTATGCGTACATATATATATATATATATTATATATAGAGGGTTCATGCGAGATTGGGATCAGGCGTACTATAAGTACGCACTTATCACCAAAATGAATGCACTTATGCCCCTACATCCCTAGCCAAGGGCTAGACGGTTTAGGATTTTTTAAACTGCACTGGCCCTTTCCTCCGCACGAGAGCACAAGAGCTCACTCATTTTGAATGTGCAGGGTTTACGGTTTAATTAAGGGTTGGCAATTGCAAGCCCCGGCACACCCATGGACTTCACCTTCCACTCGTCGTCCTTCAGGTTCTTCGCCTCTCGGGCAATCACTGAGCGTAAGGACGAAATCTAAATCTCCCAAAAGGGACTTTCCTCGAACGGCAGCCCTTGAGAGAGCCCTTAAAGGAACGCTTAAAAGGCTCCCTTAAGCATTCCTTTATGGGCTCCTTCGTCCGGACGCTCAGTTTGATTGCACACCGGCAAGTTCAACACGACAGAGTATGTGCAAGAATGAGCAAGGCATCATCTCAGAAACTCGATCGAGACATGCAATCAAACAATAATAAGTGCTCCAACAAGTAGGCTGTAAGTAGCATCCCCGAAAAGAACCGAAGCTATGGAACCATGCTTGACCAGTAGCTTGAGAAAGCATGCACCATCGTGCCTCCCACCATACCTCACCTTACATAATTGGGCCAATCGTATGTAAGGCCACGGCAACAAACGCCACAAAAATGGTGGGAAAAAAACACGACTGTATACTTTGAATACAATAACAAGAACACTCCTTAACAAGAACATTCCTGGAGCGACTATAAGGATATGGGTACTTGTCTAAATTACGGCCCCTTTTAGGCTCCTTTTTTCAAGGGTGCCGTATTATCTTGGGGACCCAAAAACGAAGAACTACCCATAATGTAGGGGCCTTAATTAGAATAGGGTTTTGGGGGTTCCCTATTCTAGTCATTTTTTAATCTACCCCCAAGCCCTATTCTAATTATTCGGGCCCCTATATTATACATCTTTTCCAAGACGTCAAGACAGTCGCTGGTGCCTTGGAGTAGGCCCAAAGCTGGCACACGGTCGCCACCTGGCCGCTGAAGGTATCCTGGCATGCATTTTTGGGCTTTAGTGTAGAGTAGGGTTTAAGGTTTAGGATTTAGGGTAAAGTTTTATGGCAGATTTAAGGTTAAAATTGATGGCAGGTTTAGGGTTTAGGCAGATGTACTGTGGTCTTTACAGGATTTAAGGAGAAATCACATGCTAGGCTGCTGGGCCTTACCGTAGATGCAGGCGCTTCAGCATGCCCCTACACCCTGAACCCCTATACCCTAAAACCCTATATATGGTCAGGCGCTCCGCGGCTCCCCCCCTGTTCCCCCTGTGGTGTGGTTGTGGGGTTTCGGGGTTTAGGGTTTAGCTCAAGCTTTCGAGTTTGGGGTTCTTTTTTAATGCAATGCGCCCCCTTTCCGATGCTGCAGCAGGTCAGCGGACGTACCCTAGTGGGCTGCACTCAAACACTCACTCACTTTCAAGGCCACCCTCATAGAAGTGTTCCTCCCAATTAGGAACCAGGGTCCCCGGTGCAACAGCTTCAGAAGGAGTCAACGAAGGAGCAGAGAAGGCATTGGGCGAGGCCAGGGAGGCATCAGGAACAGGAGCAGCTGGTGCAGCAGGTTCAGCAGGAGGTACGGCAGGGGCATCCGGGGGTCGAGCATGAGCAGGAGGTAGGCCAGCTTCCCCCGAGCTGCTCGACATGGAGCCGTGTAGCTGACCAGCAAGTAGTAAACGTAGACCATCAGCTTCACCAGGACGATCCCGATGTGCTCCATGTTCCACATGATCCTCCGACACTTCTGGTGCCTCACGGATTCCTTGTCCAGCTCGTTCTCCTTGTCCAGCTCGTTCTCCTTGTTCAGCAAATTCTCCTTGTCCAGGGAGTCCGTCTCGAGCAGCACGTTGTCCTTGGCCAACACGTTCTCCTTGTCCAGCAAGTTCTCCTTGTCCAGAAAGTCCAGCGAGTCCTCTTCCAGCAGGAGCCGTTGGTCCACGCCATAGCTCACGAGCAGCGCGAGGAAGACGAACCACCACCGCGGGGTGATCATCACGACTGCAAGAGCGTTCCCGAGGTGCAGCAGCAGTCGGCGTCGAGGAGGACATAAACGGAGGTGGTCGTAGTAGCATGTGCCGCCTTCTTCCCCCCAGTCCAAACTGCATGCGATGACGATGAGGTCGTTCAGGGAGCCCACCGACCCACCGAACACAGAAGGGTCCGGGCGCACGTCCTGGTGAACAAGGGCTCCATCGAAGGCGGCGCCCCGAGAACCCCAGGCCAAACATTGTGCACATGCCGACGCCAAGCTCTCCTTCTGAGACCAGCCATCATGTGCGGAGAGTAGCCTGGGAGGGCATTCCGCATAGCAGTGGCATCCGGCAGCCCAGGCGCCAGCAGAACTACCGGCGAGGAGGCCTCCACGTTGGGCACTGCCAAAGTCCCCCGTGACCCAGCAGCTGCTTGTCGCAAAACCTCATCCCAGACCCGAGTTGAGAGGATAGGCTTCACGATCAGACTGCAGCCAGGTGGTGACTTCCTCCATGGCCACGAAGTTCAACCGGAGGCAGTGATGTAACCTTCTTTGTCGATCTTGCAAACGACGAAGAAGATCATTGACATCTGCCTGTGAACATTGGAGCAGGTGGCGGTTGACAACGTCCCTAATTTGTTCCTCAGAGGAGACCATGCGCACCACAGTCGTAGACGTGGAAGTCGAAGAGGACAAGCAGGACCACGAGGAGGACGTCGAAGAGGACAAGCAGGACCACGAGGAGGACGAGGTAGATGCCGCCATGGTCGAAGCCGAGGATCCAGAGGAGGAGCTCATCCCAGCGACCAAGTCTTCAGCCTCCAAGGACCAGCCCATTGAACGAAGCCGGTGAGAGTCTCACAGAATTCCTCCCAAGCCACCCATGTCGTAGTGGTGGACGAGGTCGCAACCACTTCATTCGGAGGAGCAGGTAGAGGCCCAGGGCCCGCCGAAGAGGAGGACGAGCTCGGTTCTCCCCAAAATCCAGGAAGCCCATCTGGGTTCGCGACCTCAACAACAGGTGCTGCCGGCATGTCACCCTCCATAATCTCCGTGGCTGTCACAGACGGCGCGGATCCCCCAGGCGAGACAGAGGGAGCAGTATCAGCTGGGGCCAACACAGCAGCGGCAGAGGAAGCGTGTTCCTGAGGATCCGGAGTGCCCACCACCACGGAGCCATCACTGCCAGAGCTGGCCTGAGAGGAGCGCCGCCTGCGCGACATGGCAAACTCAGAAGAAGGAAATTCGCTGGACCCCAGGAAGAAAGTCGTCCCAGCAATGCTGGATGGCGAAGAAGGCGGTATCTCCGGCGAGGGCTCCTGCTCCACCGGTTGCAAGCGAGTGTTCAGGTGAACCTCCAAGCAGTTCCGCAGTAGAGGCACGAGTTGACGAGCCCAGTTGAAAGTGTTCCAGCGACCAATTTCTGTGCGCGGGACTCTCCGAATAGGAAAGTATCCCTGCGGACTGAGCCGGCGTGCCAGCACTTCCAATATGCTGTGGATGGCCTCCATTGCTTCATCTCCGCGCTGCAGCATACATCTTATATAGGCCCACCTGGACTCGGGGCCAATCTCCTGAGTCTCCTGCCTTGCATGGAGCTGGTTGAGGAAGTCTTCGAGTTCACGAATCGTGTCTCTTGGTACTCCCCGTTCTTGCAAGGTGGCTGTTTCCGAGTTCCGAAGCTGCGTAAAGAAGGTGAGATCATCCACAAAGTCCTCCCTCTCCTCATTCAATGGTGGCTGCACCAACTCATCCAAGGACAAGGTCAAGGGCAGCAGGACTTCATCCGCGACGCAGGAGACACTGCTGGCAGGACAGGGAAGACGAGGAGGGCGAAGCGGACAGCGATGATGTCGAGGAGGTGGCCGGACAAGTCGAGGGCACCGGTGTGCAGGACACAGAGGTCGAGGACAATGTCAGGGACGTCCAGGAAGTGGTAGTTGATGTCCATGATGTGGTTGATGTTGTAGTCCAGGAGTCGCAGGGGGTAGCCCAACCTTGCCAAGACGACCAAGAAGTAGAAGGTTCATCCCACTGCTGCCAACCCGACCAAGACCAAGGAGATGAGGCCGAAGATGATGTGGAGGGCCAAGGGGTGGCCGAGGTCGCTGAGGTCCACGATGCAGAAGGTTGGTTCCTCCCACTGTTGCCACCCAGACCATGACCACGTGCTAGAAGACGGTCCAGAGAAGTTCACCCAGCCTGACGACGTCACAAAGGGATCGGTGTTCGCAGGGGCGTTGCTCATCTGCGAGGAGGACAGGTTGGCGAGGGACACATTGCCAGTCGTCGTTTCCGGCAAGGAAGGAGCAGGCATCTGAGAGGAAGTCTGGGAACCATCATGAGAAGTCACCCCAGTCGACCCAGAATGTCCCAGATCTCCAGAGGCGGTGCTCACTGGCATCTCAGGACTCAGGGAAGGCTCAGGAGGTGGAGCCAAAGCGCTTTGACGACGAGCCTTGTCCTCGATGTAGTTCCGAAGCCATGCCGGCTTCCAATTGCCGGCGAAGTACTCTTCCATTCTTTTAGTTTTTCGCTGGGTCCGTAACAAACCCTGGCCGCCTGTGTGTCGTCGTTGCTCCGCAGGGGTGCGAAGGCGAGCATGAAAGGTGCCCTGAGACCAAAAGCCAGGGGCTGTGTGACCCGGCTCGTCTGAGGAGCTTGCCCAATGTGTTTCATCAGAATCAGCAGCGAGCGGAAGGACCATCTTCTCCAGCCGTGGTGCTGATGTCGCCCTGGTGTCCCTCTACCTTGCCTGCTCGAACAAGGAAATCTTGACCATAAAATGTGGTGGCCTTCACAACCACTTCGTCCCCTTGGAGTGTGGTACCTTGAACCACAAAGGCTGGACTCTCTTCGGGCAGGGAAGGCAAGGCAGGGGCATTTTGTGCAGCCGAGGTTGTAGGGAGTAGCATCGAGGAGGAAGAGCAGGCGGAACTTGGCACTCAAAGAGCTGCTTGAGGGCAACGACGAGGAAGAGGATGAAGCCGAGAACGACGGAGTAGCCTGACCTCCACACTGTTCCTGTCCAAGGTTGCGACGAAGTGTCCCATCAGCATTGTGCCATCGATCTCGTCCCTCTCGAATCTTGTTGCCACGTCTGGTGAAGCCACCATCTCCGGCGCAAGGGTCCTGCGACTCGTAGCGGTCCTCACTGCGACGACTGAGGTTGCCCAAGGTAGCCGAAGACATAAAGCTGGCAGGGTCTCGTCCACAAAGAGAAGGCGGAGCTTATGGTTGGGGACGAGCACGACCACGGAGAGGACGGTTGTCCATGACCAAGTCAAGCCAGGCAGGGGCATCTGAAGTGGACGAAGCAGCGTCTTGTTGCGCGTGTTCCAGGTCCTCAGGGATGGGCTCGAGGTGCAGGTCAGTCTCCGGTTCCACGGCGAGCCCCATGCAAATTTCACGATCCCAGGCAGTAAGAGGAGCGGACGTAGGGACCGACACATCACCCCACATTGCTGATCCCGAGGATTGAGGTGGGGAACTCCACGACGACAAAGTACCCAAGGTAGGCGAAGAACTCGAAGCCGAAGGGCAGGAGGATGAAGTCGCGGAGGGCCGATTGCAAAGTTCACCCCCAGTTGGGTGTGTGATCCCATGTGAAGCGGCTGGCAAGGATAGCGAGGTTGAAGGCGACGGTGCCCAGGAGGAGGAAGAGGCCCAGGGGTCCATCTCATCCCACGCAATTACACCAGCGCCACCGTTCCAAGGAGCTTGTCCTCCTTCATCAGCTCCATCATCCACACTCGCTGGGGTTTGCCACGTGCTCTGATCATCCTCCCAGGTTGGTCTCGACGGCGAAGGCTGCCAGGTGGTTTCCCATAGGTGGCCGGGGTAGGGCTCGTCGGTGTCATTGTCCATAGCTGCGACGAGGAGGGGGAACACGAGGACGAAGAACCATATGGAGCGCGCCAAGGAGCGGGCCATGGCGCCAGAAGAAGGAGACGTAGGGGACTTGAAGGTTGAAGTTCACTCAGTGCCTGGAGCCCGGAGCCGGTCAGACAAGTGAACACAATGCGCCGCGCAGACATAGCACTGAAGAACTGAAGCAACGTGGAAAGCAAGACGATTCCACAGGGTGTCTCCCGTGCGCAAACATGTGATGCTGAAAAATTCAAAAGTCACCGAGCGTGTTGAGGTAGGTAGCAAAGTAGGAGAGATCAAACCTTCTGAGGCGTGATTGTTCAGGCAAGCAATGACAAAGGCATGCACTTCAAGAATCACAGCAAACAGTCGGCCCGAAAACTCAAAGTCAAAGAAGGGCTGGCTGGTTGGCGCCCTCTCGTCCATGCAACATCCCACTGTGTCAAGTATTGCAATCGGATCTGACTCCACTTTTGACGGTCGTTTGCGAGCAGGTACCACTCGGTGCCATGGGTGTCAGCAAATTGTCGCTCCGCGCACCCCGCGTAAAAGCGTTCAGGATGTCTGACACCTCTGGAAAGAGTCTGTTGGTGTCTCCACCAGAACATGTTTCTCCACCTCAAAGCTTTCATAGGCAGAGAAAGTTCGGGAAAGAGCCCGTGACCTGTGTCTTCAACTTGACGCGCCCAGTGGCCAAAGAGCGAGTGTTGCATGCTCAATATCTTTGTGGACCAACGGGGCCAAGGGCTGTGCGACAGCCACGCGCGGCAGAGCCGCATGCTGCGGGTGTTCCAGGAAAGCCAGTCTTCATCAGAACGGCGATGAGTTTGGGGTTTAGGGTCTAAAGT